TAACTAAGAAAAAAAGAAGATTCAAATTTAAAAAAACAGGAATGAAAGAGGAGATATTAAAACTGATACCACAGAAATACAAAGGATCATAAAAAAACTGTAATAATTGTATACCAACATATTTAATAACCTAAAATAAATGGATAAATTCCTAGAATTCACAACCTAACAAGACTGACTCATGAGAAAATAGAAGATCTGAACCTACCTGTAACTAGTAAAAATACTGAATCAGAAATCTAAAACCTCCCAACAAAGAGCCCAGAACCAGATGTCTTCACTGGTGAATTCTACTAAACATTTAAAGAAGAATTATGCCAGTCCTTCTCAAACTCTTCCAAAAACTGAAAGGAAATAGTCCAAACTATTTTTATGAGGCCAGCATCACCCAGATACCAAAGCCAAAAAAAAGACACTATAAGAAAAGAAAACTACAGGCCAATATTCCTGATGAATATAGGTATAAAAATCCTCCACAAAATATATCAAATTGAATTCAAAAGCATATCAAAAGGATCAAAAACTATCCTACACCATGACCAAGCAGAATTTTTCCTTGGGATACAAAGATAATTCAACCTATTTAAATCAATTTATATGATTCCCCACATTAACAGAAAAGCATGGAAGCATTAAAGTCACATAATTGTCTCAACAGATGCAGACAATGCATTTGTTAAAATTCAACATCCTTTCATGATAAAAAAAACACTCACCAAAATAAGTATAGAAATAATTTACCTCAATATAACAAAGGCCATATATGAAAAGCCACAGCTAGCAAACATACAAATCATTCCATGGTGAGACATTGAAAGCTCCTCCTCTAAGGTCAGGAACAAGATAAGAAGGCACACTCTTGACACTTTTATTCAACATAGTATTAGAAAAGCTAGCCAGAGCACCAAAACTAATAAAATACTAAGAAATAAACTTAACCAAAGAGGCAAAAGACTTAAATTTTTTAAAACTACAAAACATTGCTGAAAGAAAATTAAAAACAAATGAAAAGACATATTATATTCATGGATTAGAAAACTTCATATTTTAAAAATGTCCATAACACACAAAGTGATGTACAGATTCCATGCAATTCCTATCCAAATCCCAATGGCCAGTCGCAGGAGGACCAATACTGCACAATTCCACCTTTAAGAACTAACGAAAGTAGTTGAACTCATAGAAACAGAAAATAGAATGGTGGTTGTCAGTTGTGGGGAGAAGGAAACAGGGGCTTGCTGTTCAATGTGCATAGAGATGCAGTCATGCAACATGAAAAAGCCCTAGCTATCTACCGTACAAACGCTCTGCTTATATTTAGCAGTGCTGTCCTGTGCACTGAAAGTACTTTAAAAGGTAGACCTCACACTGTGTTTTTTTACCAAAATAACAAAATAGAAAACAAGATGTTCAACGTCACTAACTGTCAGAAAAATGCAAATTAAAGCCACAGTAAGATACCAGCTCATGCCTGTCAGAATAGCTGACATCAATAAATGAACAAAGTACAAGTGTTGGTTCTTTGGAGACTGTGGAGAAGAGAGAACCCTCGAGCACTGTTGGTGGGAATGCTTATTGGTACAGCCACTATGGAACACAGTATGAAGCTTCTTCAAAAATATTAAAAATGGAACTTCCCTTATGACTCATCAATTCTATTTATGAGTGTGTGTCAGAAGAAACCCAAAACACTAATTGGAAAGAATATATGCACTTCTGTGTTCGTTACAGCATTATTTACAATAGCCAAGGTATGGGAAAAACCCAATTGTCCACCAATAGACTAATGGATAAAAAGTCATGGTACATACATACAATTAAATATTACTCAGCCATAAACAAGAATGGAGTGTTAGCATTTGTGACAACATAGATGGAACTACAGTGTATTATGTTCAGTGAAATAAGTCAGTCAGGCAAAGACAAATACAATATGATTTCACTTATACATGGGATCTAAAGAACAAAACTAATGAACAAACAAAAATGAAAACCACTCATACAGAATATAGACTGATGGTTTCCAGCAGGGAGAGAGTTAGGGGACTAGGTAAAAAAGGTGAAGGGATTAAGAAGTACAAATTGGGAGTTACAGAATAGTCATGGGATATAAAATACTGCATAGGGAATACTGGGAGTGATTACTTGGTAAAGTATATGATTGTTTAACCACTATGTTGTATACCTGAAACTAATACAAGATGATATTGAATACATTATTGAATACTATAATTCATACTATTGAAGTAATATTGAATTTAAAATTAAAAAAAATAAGAAAAAATAATAGTAGACAAAAGAAGAAAAAATAAGACTCTTAGATGAAGAAACCATTGCTCATCAACAAAAAGTGGACCTGAAATAATGTCATGCAGAATACCCCTCCACAGAAATAGCAAGTCAATGAAGATGAAAGAAGTTAACTATTTGTCAAAAAAAAGAAACTATTGCCCTGGGTGGTGTTGCTCAGTGGGTGAGTGCCAGCCTGCAAACCAAAGGGTCACCAGTTTGATTCTTGGTCAGGGCACATGTCTGGGTCATGGGCCAAGTCCCCAGTTGGGGGCATACAAGAGGCAACCAATCAATGTTTCTCACACAATGATGTTTCTCTCCCTCTCTTACTCCCTCCTTCCCCCTCTCCCATCCCCTCTAATTAAATAAAATCTTTTTAAAAAATAAAATAAAATTATTGCCCTGGCCAGTGTGAGAATCATCCTATAACTGAAAAGTTGAGGGTTTGGTCCCTAGTCCAGGCATTTATGGAAGGCAACCATCCATGCTTCTATCTCACATTGATGTTTCTCTCTCCCCCTTCCTCTCTCCCTTCCTCTCTCTGTGAAAGCAATGAAAAAAATGTCTTCAAGTAAAGATTTTAAAAATGAAATGATCAAATGATTCAAATATAAATTACATGATTTGAGGTTGTGGCAGTATAGCAATGCATTCGTCAATTAATCTGATATGGTATAAAGTCAAGTACAAAATGTCTATATATTCCATAAGTATGGTTTCAAAAACTACACTCTAATAGATAACTATTGTAAAACATATATGTACACTAAATAGACAAAGACAATGCATTCTTTTTGAGTATAATGAAGAATAATTTGGTAGGATTTCAAATTTGATTTCTTTTTTTACAGATTGTACATTTAGCTGTAAAAATTTATACTGGCTTTAATCACAGCTACTCTTTATGTGTAATTAGGATTTTTTAAATAGAATGGATTTTCCATAACATTTATCTACAGAAAAAAACCTAGGAAGCAAATACTGAACAGACATATATAATCAAATTTATATTTTAAGATAAAAATGAATGTTAAGTGAAATCACATCATGACAAGTCTATTTTAATAATGAAATATACAAGTCTGTCCAGAAAAAGTCCATCCATTATTAATATAATGAGAACAGTTTGCGCCACATCTATATAACCTGGCAGCCAAGAAGAATAACTGGAACATGCATGCATGAACAATGATGACTTCACTGTACTAGTCCATGGGGGTGGTAGATGCCTTTGAGTGAGTGTGTGTACAGTGTGGCTACACATTCAAAATGACTGAGTGAGTAGAGCGACGCATCTGTATCAAATTTTGTGTGCAGCTTGAATGTTCCTCTGCAGAAATTATTCAGATGATTCAGAAGGCTGTAGCTACAGGCAACTGCTGCTTGGCAGCTTTATCACAGAAGATCCACTTATGCATCATGTCTCATTCAGGGATTTTTAACAAAACATCAAATCACCTAGGTAACTCAGCCCCCCTACAGCCCAGATTTGGTGCCCTGCAACTTCTTGCTTTTCCCCAAACTAAAATCACATTTGAAAGGGAAGAGATTTCAGACTGTCAATGAAATTCAGGAAAATAAAAGGGGGCAGCAGATGGCAATTGGGAGAACTGTGCAAGGTCCCAAGGTGCCTCCTTAAAGGGGGCTAAGTCATCATTGTCCTATGTACAATGTTTCTTGTATCTTCTTCAATAAATGTCTCTATTTTTCATAATACATGGATGAATACTTTCTGGGCAGACCTCTTGCATGTGTCCTCAAAACCAAAGATTCTATTGACAAAATATCAAAAATCTAAATCTCTCTTGCCTGTTCAAAATAACAAAAGTCAACACGGTTTTACAGTTAGAGCTTCATAAAAAGAACAACTGTGATGATTATTTATACTTATTATAGGACCTTTTCAAAAGTTTGGTTAAGGAAAATGCTTAATTTGTTAAATAAACAATCTTAAAATCTTTAAAATATGTTTACCATATCCCCTAAACAAAAACTTTAAAAAATAGGGGAATTTTTCCTAAGCCATAATCATTTATAAATTTTTCTATCAAATGTAAACCAAAATCAGCTTTTGGAGTTTTTGATGGTAAAGTGGAAAAAAAGCCTTTCCATTTTACATGAATATTATTTTTCTAGGTATGTGATACATTAAATGCCCATGATGCTAAAAATAAAAAATTCACAAATTACTGTCCCCTCCAATTAATCTGAATGTGTGTTAATAGTTGGGAAATTACATATATATATATAATTATATATATAATGTTATATATAATGTTATATATATAATGTTATATAATAATATGAAATTGAGTATTAAATTATATGTACAATATTATCCTTATTTAGGCACATGAATAAACTCTCAGACAATCAAACTGAAAAAAAGGTGAAAAACTCATTTATGTTTATATATATTTTTATTCTTTATGTATCTTTATTTTCTACCATCTCTGCAATAGACATGTTGTACCTGAAAACTAAAACAACAAATATAACAGATATTGTATTTCCCAACTGTAAATTTTATAAATTGTTTCTAAAAATAAAATGTATCCAGAATAAATATAACACAAAACCTGTATTCACTTCAATTCTAACATACTAAGTTATCTGACATTAAATATATCAATACCAGTGTGAATCAACAGGTGAAGCCAAAACATAAGAAAGTATGATTGCTGTGTTTAAATAACATCAAGGCTTACCTTCACACAGTTTCTGCTTCATCACCTCCCTAATTCTGGATATCACAATGTAGTCTTCCACATAAAACACGTAAGTAGATGAAGGTTTGTTGGCAATAGCTCTAAGTTCTGCATCTTCTGTTTCTGAACCAACACCGATGGCAAATAATATTATTTTATTATCTCTTGCAGCTTCTGCTGCATCTTTGACTTCATCTTGAGATTTACCATCCGTAAGTACTACTGCTATTTTAGTCAGAAATCGTGAGGACTTGGCGAAAAGGTAATCAAGTGCAAACTGGATAGCCTTGCCAGTCCGTGTGTTTCCTCCCAAGTAGTGTATGGAATCCATCGCTGCCATCAAGTTCTCTCCTGAGTCATGGCTTCCAAGTGGAATCTCCAGTACAGGATAGTCACTATACTGCACCACTCCAACCTGAATAAACTTTGGTCCTATGTCAAAGTTTTTTGTGATATTGACAAGCCACTTTTTTACTATTTCGAAGTTTTCTGGGCCAACACTGTATGAACCATCTAAGATGAAAACTAAATCTGTTGGAGCAGTACGACAACCTAAGTGAAAGAAAATATCATCAGAAAACATGTTATATAAAAGCAAAAAGTAGAAAGTTTTAAATGTATAATTTTTTAATTACCTAGATGGACAAAGTTCTTTCACAATGCATTAGTATATCAAATCACTACAATGAATACTTTAAATATCATATAATTTACATGTCAATTATATCCCAATAAATGTGAATTTTTTTAAAAGATCATAGTAACTATTTATAGCAGCTGTTAAGATACATTGTTTAGCTCATGAAAATTCTGTGTAAATGAGGGCTATTATTTTTGTTGATATTTTTAATTATCTTATTTTTATAGATAATTTTTATAGATCTTATTTTATTTTTTATTTAATCTTTATTGTATTTTTCCATTACCATTTACTCCCCTTATGCCCCCACCCCCACAACCACCACACTGTGGTCCATGTCCATGAGTCCTGTTTCCTTTTTGCTCAGTCCCTTCACCCCCTAACCTTCCCTCCCCCTCAGCTCTCATCTGCTCTCCATCTATGAGTCTGTCTGTTTTGCTTATTAGGTGAGTTTGTTAATTATCTTATTTTTAAAATTAATGACTCAGCTTTAAAAGTAGGGAATAAAATATGTATGCTGTATATGAACATAATATCTACACATTTCTTTGTAGGTAAAAGTATTACCTACCATAAAGCAGCATTTTATTCTATTTTTCCATTGAATAAATGAAAATAAATTAAAAAACATGATTTTCAGCTATACATTAATATCATTGTTTTAAGTTATCAGTGAAATATGTTTTATTTGATACTATCTGAAATATGTAAAAATATATATAAGCCAATTAATAGGGAGAAAGTAAAATAAACTTTCTGCCAACTTCAGGACTCAAGCAGCCACTACAGATTCATATTCTTTAATATAGTTGATAAAAGTGAAATGAACCAAGATCACCAAAGCCATCACTCTTACACTACATGCAATGCAAGTTTTTAAATGTCTGAACTCTCATCTTCAGTGAATAATGTGGTCAAACATTGGCTTGTGCTATGTGAATCTATATTCAAGGGCATAAAGCTATTTGTTTATCCTTAAAGATTCTTGTTTCAAGATACCAGGAAACAGTATGATCAGCACATCTTGTAGTTCTATTGGGTAAAAGACTAACTCTGGTGCAAGTTATACTTTCTATACTTTCTATATCTTTCTATAAGTACTTAGACAAGTTCTAAGCACTTATAGAAAGAAAAATAAAAAACTTCACTCTCTTTTCCATAGCACAAAACGTACTTCTAACTCTACTTCTTTCTTTTTCTTTTTTCATATATATATATATATATATATATATATGTATGTATATATATTTTTTATATATATAGAATAGCTACTCTGTGTCTGATATCATGCTTGATACTAGCTTCAAAGATACATAAGATATCTCAGAAAGGTCATAGTCTAGTAAGACAGACAACTGACTGGTTAGGGAAAGTACATACCATTATGAAAACATTTAGGAGGCATTCATAACCTACCTGTGGAAAGTCAAGAGTGGTTGTGTGGAGGGAAAGCAACAGACAACCTGAAATCTGAAAGGACAGCTTTGGCCAGGTGAAGAGGGGGACAGTCTAGTCAGAGGGAATAGTGCAAAGGTCCAGAGATGAGAGACAAACACAGCCAAAAATACAAACTAATTTGTTTGAATAGCTCCAATAGTTGAAATGGCCAACAAAGTACACAGGAAGGAACTCAAAACACCAACACTACTACTGTTCGTGGCCCATCTGATAAGGATCACATGCTTCTGGATTTGATGAGTTGGAAGAAAATGAGATGAGCCAAGGTCATATGTAGCAAATTTTAAGGCCTGTGTTTTTACTCATATTAAGTGGTCTCCTTTAGGTTGTGATTAAATGCCCACTTTAAAGTTATAATAAGGGTGATTTATATTCTGTATATAGTTTAAATGAGATATTGTAATTGCAAGGAATGGTATTAGAAAAAAATTATTTAGTGCAAGCAGTATTAGAAATTTTGTACCTCCTTAGTAGTAAATTATTAATCAATCTCCCTCTTTCCCTCTCTTCCACTTCCTCACTCCTTCCTCTCTCTCCTTTTCTTTCCATCCTGTTTCTTATCTTTGCCTACTTACAGATTTGAGATGATGGTGACAAGGCTCACATGAAGAGTCTTCAATTTTACAGTTACCTCAATGTACCCATCACAGTAACCAGCAAAAATAAACACTATTGTCAGGTGAACATATACAACAGTCAAGCTGTTACTAGAAAAAAAAATACCTCTGCCAAAACATGGATTGGATTTGTCTCAAAAAATGTAAGCATGATTATGATGTTACTCTTTTTTTTGAGATTCATTCTCTTTTTTAAAAGATTATTTATTTATTTTTAGAGAGGAAAGGAAGAGAGAGAGAGAGAGAGAGAAACATCAATGTGTGGTTGCTGGGGCCATGGCCTGCAACCTAAGCATGTACCCTGACTGGGAATCGAACCTGCAATGCCTGATTCGCAGTCCACTCTCAATCCACTGAGCTATGCCAGCCAGGGCTGATGTTACTCTTAAGGTGCTCTGTGGCAGGTGGTGGTGCAGTGCAGAAGGGTGCTACTCCAACAACCTCTGCCATGGTGACCACTGCCAGAGTTCAGGACAGGGACACCAGAATGGAATTTGGCCCAAAGGCAACTTTTCTAACCCAAGGGAATGCAGCTCTTCTGTTATTTTTGGACATTGGACTGGGGTTATGGGGTTGGGTTTTTTGTTTTGTTTTGTTTTGTTTTTGAGGTTTTAAAAGGACAGGAAAGTTGTGTTTGCAGAGCTCTTCAATGTTGCTCTTCCTAAATACTATGAGACTCACTATTGTCTGGACCTGCTAGTGTTTGTTTGATACTTGATTCTGTGGTTAACTGTTACAGGCTTATTCTTGGCCCTTTCTACCCCTTTCCAGAGCCATAGAGTACATATTTCATACCTGTAAGTTTAGCCAAGACCATGGGTACAAAAAGCAACCTGTTACTGCTGATAAACACCAGACAAAATACCACTCCAAGAGACCTGCTCCTTAGGGAGATGAATCACTGATGTAGAAAAGAAATGGACTAAAGATCAAAAGCATAGTTTAAATATTAGTTACAGCTCTAGCAAGCTGTATGATACTAGGTAAGCCTATTAAATTTCGTGAATCTCTTTTCCCACTCAAAAAACTGTGAAAAGAGTCTACCTTTTAGAGTATTGGGTGGATTAAACTATAAAAGAGTTATGTAAATATTGTTTTAATAAATTTTAAGCCAAGTTAAATCAACATGTCAAACCATCTAACTGTTATAGAAACAAAAATTAATTCATAGTAGGGCCCTTATAAGTTTTAAAATATGAAAATAAGCTAACTCTTAAAAAGAAGTATGATATTTGTAACTGGTGACCTGGGTAGCAGAACTACATTAATTTATCCCTCCTTCTCTAATGAAAGTCTTCCTACAGGCAGTCAGAATAATCACCATTTACTGAGATGTCACTGTGCTAGCCCATTTACATGCATTACTTATCTCATTCACATTGCTTATCTCATTACCTCTATTAGATAACCTCCTGGGATGCTCCCGATAACCACTCTAGGAGGTAGGTACTTTTTATCTTCTTATCAGGAAGCTCCTAAATGTCTGAACTCAATACCAGACTGTTTATTCTAAAGCCTGATGGGTTAACAGAATAAACAATTTCCATAGGATTGTCTCAAGATTACCTCTGATAGAAACTTTTCTTCTCAGTTAATGTGTAACAAAGCAATTCATTCATTTTAGGAAATTACATCATCAAAGACACTAAGAATGGATCCTTAATAAGCTCTCCACACTTGTTTTCTACAATCAATGTGCTGATAACAAAAAGGAGCAATTCTAATAGTTCTTACTTGATCTTATTTCCTCATCCTCAGCTGATACAGAATTCTGGAGAAGCAGGACCAAAACTATCCAAAGAAATGTCATAAGGTAAGCCATGTTTCTGTTTTCCTTCTAATAGTTTGGTTTTAGGATTCCTAAAAAAAAAAAAAAGGAAGAGGGTCAAATATATTAGAAAAATAAAGACAAATACCTATCCATTATAAGTTTAATTTTAAAATTGCAATATCAAGTTTCAGTACAGTTAATTTTTACTACCCTTAAAATTAATTTGTGTATCTCAAATAGCCACATTATAAATATATTATGCAAGAGGACAATGAGTAGGAGCTGAAGAAGACCATGAAAGGTATTTTAATTCATAATTATCTTGAAAAATTCTAAACTTCTGTAAAACTTTGAGTTTTGTCCAAAATACTTACTAGAATTCCTTTTAGTATCTTCTGTAAAGTGTTAGCACATTCTTATTATTATCTCAATGGTAGCAAACATTCTTCTTTTAACTGTGGATTTGCACTTTTAAAACACTCAAAGGATATCTGGTAAAAATATTTATATGATAAAGCTGAGTGATAGAGTTTAATTTTTTAATGGAGTATAAACTTTAAGATATGTTTTACTTGATTTATAAATACTTTGTTACATGACTTTCATATATCTTTTAAGTACATCCAAGGACTTCACTTCTGGTTACAACATGGAAAATTGCAAGACTTTCACTCCCAACAATAATAACACACCAGATTAATTATAAAATGATAGTGTTTTTAAACCCAGAAACAAGACAGGATTTAAAGAAATCTAAATGAACCAAATTCTAAAAGTTACTAATCCTTTCTAAGGTAGAAAATATTCAGAGCTGCTGTTATTCCTAGCAGAAAGGGAAGCCTCCTCAAGAAGAGGAATTTGCCAAAACATGAAAGAAACCAATCAAAACTGGGGAGATGAATTAGAATCCTGAGAGGCTGCAGCCACAGAACAAGTATGTCCCACCCAGCAATTCTTCCCCATGAATTTTGAATTGATAGAAGAGACAGGTAATACAAAGAAAGATGAGAGCAGTTTAACAGCCTAGAGAGATCCTCCCCCCGACACTGTGCAGATACCCAGGGTCTCTCTCAAATAAATACAAATCCTTGATTTGTGGAAGGCTGGAAGAGAAGCAACAGAACTGAGAGAAGTCCCTCCAAGGCACTCTATGCCTTTACCACAATGGAGAGAGAGATCATGAAAAGCAGGAGGCCAAAGAAGGACAAGAGAAAAACAGTATTTAGAAACACAAAAAGCTGAAAGCCATACTGAAAAGCTGAAAGAAATCTCCCAAGGGTATCACAAAATAGAAGAAGCAACAAAATCTGATTACTGATCAGGAGAAAACACTCAGTATAAGTAGATCCAGAGATGATCTAAATGCCAGATATATCAAACAAGGTTTATAAAACAGCTATAATAAATTTGCTAAAGATCTAATAAAGAAGATGGACAACAATGTGCAAAAATATGGAAAATTTTAGAGAGAAATGGAAACTAAAAAAGATACAAACTGAAAAGCTTATAATAAAAAAAATCAAAAAAGAATTTAGGCAATGGGCTTAACCAACTACGGTAAGGAGAAAATCAGTAAACTCAAAGATTAAGTCGATAATAGAAATTATTACAAATGAAACCCAAAACAAGGGGAAGGATGGTAATAAAAGAAGCAAAGCATCTGAAATCTATGGGAAATACCAAGTAATCTTGATTTGGCAGTCAAGTAGTTAGTTTTTGAGATGAAAGGCAGAAAGTGAATGAAGAGATATTTGAAAATACAATGGCCAAAATTTTACCAAATTGACAGATTGCACAGAATCAAATCAAAGAAGTTCAACAAAGCCCAATGAGATATAAAGTGAGCCACACTTAGGTACATCATAATTAGTTGAAAATAGGAATAAAAGAGAAAATTTTTTAAAGTAGAGAAAAAAGACAAATTACAGAGGGGCAATAATAAGAATTTTAGATAGAAATTTCATAGTAACAAAACTGGCAACAGATCAGAAAGACATAAAAATCTTAAATATGTAAATATATAATAAAGCTTCTGAATTATGAAGCAAAAAAAATTTAAGCTAAAAAAGACAAATTCAAGTCATAATGTGAGATTTCAACACATTTTCATCAACTATTGAATTAGACAAAAAATCAGTAATGGTATAAAACAGCTACTTTTCACCTAGTTCACATACAAAGAACATTTCACCTAACAACAGCAGAATATACATTCTTTTGTAATGCACATAAAATAGTCACCAAAATAGATTCTATGCTGGAGAAAAAGCAGCCTCAAATTCCAAAGAATTGAGATTACACAGTTTATATTCTTTGACCAAAATGATATTAAATTTAAAAAGAAAAGGAAGAATGTCCCAAAATGCTTGAAAACTTAGCAATATACTTCTAAATAATCCATAAATTAACAAGGAAAAAGATTACTGTAGTTTTATAGTATAATGTGAAATCAGAGAGTATATACTTCCAGCTTTGTTCTTCTTTCTCAATACTGTTTTGGCTATTCAGGGTCTCATGTGGTTCCAAATCAATTTTAGAATCATTTCTTCTATCCTGTGCAAAATGTCATTGGTATTTTGATAGGGATTACACTGAATCTGTAAACTGCTTTGGGTACTATGGACACTTTAATGATACAGTAACACTGTGCAGCCATGGAGGGGCCCAAATAGGAATTTGTAATGGAGTCTAGAACTCAGGGTGTCCAAGAAATATTAAAATATAGGATGTCCTCACCCCCACAAGCCTGAACTGGGGGATGGATGGTACACATGGAGCAGGGCCATTGAGAGCTGGTTTGCATAGCAACAGTTTTGAAGCTAACTTCTGGCATGGTCATTTAACATATCTGTAACTTTTAACTGGTTTCATGGATATGTTAAACAGCTGTGGCCATGCTTTGGTCCAGGGAGATGGGAGTGACTTCAACCCAGGATGGAACTGGGAGGCTACTTCCCCTGGTTTCAGCGCCTGTGTGAGAGAGAAAAGAAGGAAGGTTGGGGCCCACACAACTTTGGAGTAAGTGGGGACCACGTGGCTTTGGGGTGCTCCCTTTTGCCACATGGCTTAGGAAGCAGGAGAGACCTTGCTGGGAAGAAAAGGGGTGTAAGGACTCCTGCTGGTGGGCCATGAGAAGGTGTCACATGGTTTTGGATTAACTGGAGATCGTGTGGCAACACAACTGATGGTGCCAGAACCGAGGGGCTGCCTGAGCCACAGACTTCTACTTCCTTTCCTGAGATATGGTACCTCAGACTGGGTAGACGGAGAAGGAAGGGCTGTGTGCATTGGTGTGTATTCTAAAGGACTTCAGTATTTTAACGAAGACATTAAGTCATTACTCTAAATCTATGTAACTCTTTGAATAAATAATTCCTTTCCTTTTCACCAATCTCTGCCATTGAAAGATGTCTTTCCCTGGCAGTGGGCAAGGTGAACCTAGTACTGGGGAGGACTCCCGGAGCACACAGTGGGGGTCCATCCATTCAGTAATAGTATATTGTTCACCACCACCCCAGGTCTGTTTTGTAACAATATTAATCTTTCTAATCTATGAGAACAGTAAATCCTTCCATTTGTGTTATTTTCAATTTCATTCATCAATGTCTTATAGTTTTCAAAGCCCAGGTCTTTCACCTCCTGGGTTAAATTTATTACTAGGTATTTTACTCTTTTTGATACAATTTTAAATGGAACTTTCTAATTTTGCTTTCTGATAATTTAATAGTATATAGAAATGCAACAGATTTCTGTATCAATTATTCTATATTAATTTTGTATTCTGCAACTTGACTAAATTCACTTATTAGTTCTAATAATTTTTTGGTGGAGTCTTTAATAATCAAACCAGTATGGTAGTGGCACAAAAACAGACATAGATCATGGAACAAAAGAGAGAGTCCAGAAATAAACCCATACACATGGTCAATTAATTTATGATAATGGAGGCAAGCATATACGATTTAAAAAATGACAGATTCTTCAATAAATGGTGTTAGGAAAACTGAACAGATACATGCAAAAAAATAAATCTGGATGACATTCTTACACCACATACAAAAATAAACTCAAAATGGATTAGAGATTTAAATATAGAAACTAAAATCACAAACTCCTAGGGAAAAAAAAAGACATAGGCAATAAACTCTTTGACACTGACCTTAGCAGTATTTTTCTGGATATGTTTCTCTTGGAAATAGCAAAGAAAGCAAAAATAAACAAATGGAATTATATCAAACTAAAAAGCTTTTGTAGTGCAAAAGAAACCATAAATAAAACAAAAGAACAACCTACTGAATGAGAGAAGATATTTGCAAATAATATATCTAATAAGGGGTTAATATCTAAAATATATAAAGAATTCATACATCTCAATATCAAAAATAAAAACAAACATTCTAATTTTAAAAATGCACAGACGACTTCCATAGGCATTGCTCCAAAGAAGATATACAGATGGCCAACAGACATATGAAAAGATGTTCAACAATCACTAGTCACCAGGAAAATGAAAATCACAACCACAATAAGATATTGCCTCACACTTGTTAGAATGGCTATTATTAACAAATGACGAGTACTGGCATGGATGGATGTTCCTCAAAAAATAAAAAATAAAACTACCATATGACCTTGTGATTCCAATTCTGGGTATATATCCAGAGAAAATGAAGATAGTAATTCAAAAAGATATAGCATGCCTATGTTCACAGCAGCATTATTTACAGTAGCCAAGATATAAAAGCAACCCAAATATCCATCAATAGCTGAATGGATAAAGATGATTCAGGTATATACCAAATGGAATATCACTCAGCAATAAAAAAGAATAAAATCTTGCCATTTGTGATATGGATGACCCTAAACAGTGTTATGAAATAGATCAAACAAAGACAAATACCATAGGATTTCACGTATACAAGAAATAAAAAAAATAAACAAAATAGAAACAGACTGGTGGATACAGAACACAAATGGATGTTTTGAGTAGTGGGGAGGATGAGTGGAAAATGTGAAGGGGAATGAGAGGTATAAACTTCCAGTCATAAAATACATAAGTAATGGAGATGTAATGCACAGCACAGGGAAT